TGAAGGCTGAAAATTTTGCTTCCCAAGAAGAGCCTAAAGCTCTGATACCACTTGTCACGGGTTGAGACTTAAGCTCCGAACCCGCGCGGCTCCGGGACCCGGGCATCCACTCATCCGTCATCCCAGATCAGCCTACCTGCCATGGTTCACACCCTTGTGAGGTATTGTTCGCTCTAGCCCTCTGACCTCACGGTTTTGTCCTACAAAATGTGCCTCACAAGTCAGAGATGCTGTGAACCCTTATATACCCCAGTGATCCTCCTATTATGTTCGATGTGGGATTCAGGACTCTTCCTTAGGTTCGTGACATTCTCCCGCACCCAACCTCGTGACGCCTTCGTCACGGAGGCCGGCCACCTTGCCTACCTCACTCGAGGCGCTTGGCGTGGATCGAACGGTTTAGGGCTAGCTCTAATACCATGTGGAAACTGAATGTATATTGAAAAACAGCTTATTTCGAATTATACAAGAATCTTAGGTTTATATACAACTAACTAGGGGTTAAACTAGGAAACTAAATCTTCTTTAATTCTAGGGATACAAATACTTAATTCTAGAGATACAAATATAAATATACAGATTACAAGATTACAACCAGCTGTAAATAAGTGTTTTCCCACACTTATAGCTCTAGGTTCTAGTTTCCCACGAGATGGACTTTTATTGTGAACAAAAGATGCGCAACCAAAGACTTTTAGGGGTCAAGCAGTAAACAACCTGGTTTGTGGATATGATTCAAGTAACATGTTCAATGGTTTTTTGAAATTGAAAACTCTACTAGAAGTCTATTAATCAAGTATGAGGCTGTTAAAATAGCATCTCCCCCCAAAAAATACTTAGGAACATTAGTGGTAAACATGATTGCACGAGCAATTTCTAATAGATGATGATTTTTACATTTTGCAACCCTATTTTATTGGAAGGTGTTAACACAAGAACTTTGGTGAAAAGTCCCATTTTTTTTTAGATAATCACCAAGGATTGAATAAAGTATTCCCTCCCATTGTTTATGCGGAAAATTTGGATTTGAGCTTGAAATTGTGTTTGAGTCATTTTTTGAAATTGCTGAAGAATTGTCTTAGCATCAAACTTGTCTTTTAATAAGTAAACCCAACAAGCTTGTATGTGATCATCTATAAAAGTTAGGAACTACTTAGTTCCAGTTATGTTGTTTTCCCATGAAGGTCCCTAAATATCACTATGAACTAAACCAAAAGGTTTAGAAAATCTATATGGATGACTAAGATAAGGATCATGAGTGTGTTTGGCAAGTTGACCAAGTTTCACAACAAAAGGAATGGGCATCTTTATTCTTAAAAAAAGAAGGAAAAAAGTTTTTAGATATGTAAAACCAGGATGTTTTAATTTATTGTGCCATAACATAATTTCACTAAAAACAAAAACAGATTCACTTCTTAGAGCCAAAACTTGTTTATTCACTTGTTGAGGATCCTCAAGACAGTATGAGCCTTCATGCTCCTTAGCATTGCCAATTATCCTCCCCGAAAGTAAATCCTAAAACTCACAATATAAAGGATAGAATTTAGCCACACAATTCAAGTCCTTTGTCAATTTATTAATAGACACTAAATTACATGCTAAATTAGGAACATGCAAGGCTGAATATAATGTCATATTAGAAACTTTAATGTTTCCTTTTCCAGCAACAGAGGATAGTGATTCATCAGTAATATGAATATAAAGGTTTCCTGGACATGGATTATATGTTGAAAACAATTTATGGCATCTAGTCATATGGCTGGATGCCCTAGAATCTATAATCCAAAATTTCTAGAATCTGATTTTGCACCCAAAGCAGAGATATAATTACCTTTTTGTGCAATTGTGCATTTTGAGTAAGTGTACTAATTGGTTCAGTAGTCACCTCTGATCCGCTCTTGAGAGGCACCAATTATGGTTGTTTTGGCCATTAGAAAAGTAAAAACAAGAGCAAACATTGCTCTGATACCATGAAAAACAGAGATAAAAACAATGTTCTCTGAGTGTTATTTTATTAAAAAGGAATTCCCAAATATATAAAGGAATAGATATGTACAAAAAAACCCACAAAATCAACACATAATCAGGACATAATCATCCAAACATAGAAAGAAATAAAAGACCAAAAATATAAATCCCAACAAATCAGGAAATTGATCTTGGTTTGATACATAATCTGTCAACAGTAGTTTCACACATAGACTATGGTGCGAACCAACTAGTTATATGTTTATATATGGTTGCAAATCTGAAGAACTATGAATTGTCCCATAATACTCATAAGAAGCCAAGCTGGACTTAAGGTGTAAACTATCTTTCCAGTAATGTGAGGAGTGGGACAGATATCCTAGAAGTATGAAAGGGAACATGCATGGCAAAAAAGGTAAAGATGTAGAAGAATCGAAAGAATTAGTACGGCATACCACTAGAGTCAAGCACGAGGAGTTTGTAAATTCTATGTGTGCCATGCAAATGCTTGTGCATGAGGTTGCCAGGACTTATAGTTAGGGGGTCAACAGTTCCTAAGAAAGATTAATGTAATGTCAGAAAAAAATTATAATTAAAATGAAAGAAGATTATGATTTTTTTTTTTTTATAGAAGATATTAGTCAAATAACTTTCTTTTTCGTTTTTCGTTATAACAAAGTTTAATATTACTATCTTTTTATTTTTTTGATGTTGGTAAAGATTAATATGAACCATTATACATAATTAAATTATGTTTTCATACTTTGGATTATATACTGTATTTCCATTTCGTGTTATTGCATGGATTTGAAATTACTTATTATCTTTTATTTTGGTGGGGATTTGCAAAACATAAAAAATTATCATTTAGGAAACTCCTTCACAAAACATAAAAGTTAAAATATTTGTATGAAAAGTAATCAAAGTAAATATTGAAAAAAACCAAGTGAATCAAGTACAATGGAATTTTGTGAAAAGGAAAAGGTTTTTATTGCATTGAATGAAAACCTTGAAGAGCAGCAATGAATTGGAAAAAGTGTTAAGCACTAAGTAAAGAACTTGACAAAGTTAACAGAATTAGGGGCAAGAATAAATAGGAAAAATGAAGAAACGTCAATGGGCTAAAGAGAGAATTGTGCATCTAAATGCAAGCAAACTTCTCTTATTGTCAAATTTCTTTTTTTAAAATTTTTTTTTATCTCATTCCACATAAATAAATAAGCCTAAGACTGCATGGAAACCATCTAAAATTAACTCTACTGTAGTTAGTTAAATCAGGATCCCTATTTCTTCAGTGCAAAAATGGGGTTGACTGGGGGTGCAATGCAGTGGGGAGCCTTCCTCACCGGACCACACTGCCCTTCCAAATGTTGCCTTATTCATAAATCTTAAAGAACTTTGAAATATATGACAAAACTGTGAACTTTTTGTTAGAACAAAAAAATAGAAAATGACAAAGATTGTAGTACTTGTGATGTTTGTTTCTTTTGGGTAGATCAGGATACCAGGACAAACTGCATGTTAGTTGGTTGATGACACATGCTTACAGACACACACTCATAGCTTGATACGGAGCTTCTGTTGATATTTCTCTTTGATTTTTTGTCTTTAAATCAATCATAACATGGCACTTTAAACTTTCATCCTTTGAGTTCTTTGCTCCCCTGTTGAAATGATGGCTCATTTGACACAGATTTTCAGAAACGCAAATATGAAAAGATATAGAGCAGGAATGTACATGAAATACGAAATAGAGAAATAACTATTTTAGTGTCATGCATCTTTTCTGCTCTGCTCTTTTTCCTTAGCTTGTTGATAAGTCTTCTTTGGGTTCAACTAGAATTACTGTCTTGGGCTTAAATTGACATAATAATGAGACATCGGATTTCAATATATCAGAATCTAAGTTGAGCTTTTGATGTGCTTTCGTTGGGCTTTGCCTTATGTGAGATTAAGGCATGTGCCTTCCTGGTCCTTACCTTGCTATTGTTTCTCCAGAACAATTTGATCATAACTTTTTTCCTCTCTTCTTTTACTTTAAACTTAAATGCAAAAACTGCTTGGTTTACACTTGATGCATATATTGAACCATAAAGATAATTCTTTTTGGCCCAAAATTTTATGATGTCAGTAGATTTTGCATTTTCCTTTAATATTTTTTGCTTCTTTTGCCTTGAAAATGAAAAGGAACCAACGGTGAATCCTTTTTCTTCAGGTTGTCTGAGATACCGAACTGTGCATATTTTCATAATATGCCACATGTCCTGAATAAGCTTTTCTTATCAAGTTAATAGTTTCTGATAAAGGGCTTGGAGATTCTTCAAGTTTAGTTCTAATGAGTTTGTCTTAAACTTGTTTGGACTGTTGTCTTTGACCAGGAGTTTCTAATTTGTTTTACTTTTCATTTGATCATAAATATTGTATTGTACGTGTGTCCGTGCCTGCTTCATCACATTGAAAGAGATATATAATACTTTTGTATCTGCCAATATGAGTGTAATTGCAATTTGTGCATCTGAACTTTTAATTGAAGCCATGTGGGCCTAGATGTTGGTAGATTTTTAATATGCTTAAAGTTGCATCTGAAAATTCTTCTAGAAGTCAACTGCAGTTTTTTTTACCTCATTTTCTTGATCCAGCTATAATTAGATTGGTAATAAGTCAATTCTTTTTCTTTTTCAAGGGTACACCTGCCCATTTGTTGATTAACGGTGAAGTAATCAATTAATGGAAATTTTCACCTAAATTAGGGAATTTTTTATTGAGGTGGGGGATATTGAACATGGCCTATGTGTTTGGGGGAATATTGCTTCAATTAGTAATTTTGCCACAAAATTAAGATTGACCTCATAATTTAAGGGGCAGCATATAATTTGACCATATCAATAATTTCACCCCTTTGCTTGCGCTTTCTTTTTGACTTTTGTTGTAAGATTTACCAGCCTAGCTAGCTGGCACTTTTATATTAATTACATTCTTTTTCTTTTTTTTCCATTGGGTGATTTTATTGATACTCCATTTGTGTTATACAGCTTGCAGAACTGTGGCCAAATGGAATCATGGACAACCATGGGATAAAATGTGCAATTCGTAGGGCAAAGGAACGCAGAAGGGCATTGTGCAAATATGATAAGGTATGCACTTCTTTTGTAGTTATTGCTCAATATAAATCTTTAGTTCAATCCTTCATTATAATTCGATGTCATTAGATATAGAAAAGGGGAGATGATGATCAAATGCATTAATGGGGTAGGCTGTCAAAGGACTGGATTTAGATCTTTGATATATGCAAGTTCTGATCTTTGATAAATGGAGGTTTGAATGAAGGAGATATATTGGGACAGGCTATAGCTCTTATGACACTAGTTTCTGGTCATTGTGTCTGGACCATGGTTGTAGGTACTTACATTATCAAAAAGCATTTATGTAAATATTTTCAAATGTCTTTTTGTCAATAGAAAGGATATATGGACTGTTTTAACTAAAATTTTGAATGATAGACCTCACACTGCATGTGAGGTATGATCAATATTTCCTAGTAATCAGGCAGCACCAGATTGGGGCCATCATGAACATTTTCATTTATTCTGAATTTAATCTGTATTTAAATGTTTCTTATTTGCTTAATACATAGACTGATGGTTAGTTGCATGTTTTCCTTTGTTACTGTTGGCCTATTGCACTGGCTACATCCTGGTATTGAGAAGCAGCACAATAGAAATATATTTGATGCATTTTTAGGAACTGCAAAGTTTAGTGGATCATCCTCAGTGGAATTTCCATTTTAGAATTTACGAAATGATTTCACTGCTGGTTCTGCCATCTGGATCAATTTTTAAAATCTACAGAAGCTTTCTGATGACTAAAGCTCTCTCTCTTCATTGAACCATGAAAAAACAAAAAGTGAAAAAGGACTTTTCTCTCATTCCTATTCATGCTGTACAAGAGCTGCTTTGAATAGTCGATTTTATTGATGTCTGGTTATCAGTATTTGGTCAAGATGCCCTTAATACTCCATTCGGTCAATTCACTGGTAACGCTGTTTGTTTAATTAATGGATCAAATACCTATAAATAAAATTTCTAAAATTTTTGCATAGTAATGACCATCGAGCACTGTGAAGTACTTGCATGTAATGGAATTTATATGCAATATTTAGTGCTCTGAATCTGTAGCCCTGATTCAATGAACAGACCTTATTTGGGTTACTTTCTCGTATATTGGTGTTGGAATAAAACGCACTATTGCACAGTATGCCTTTGAAATGTATAATTAACATCTTGTAGGGACTTCTTCTAATCATGAGAATCATGATGCGGCAGTCTATTTAAGATTTGATTTGCTGCATTTACAGTGCCAACAGCTACTTATACTGGCAAATTTGAGTCTTGTTACTGGTAACATAGAATGTATTTGATAAAAATTCTTTTATTCTGAAACTGAAAACTATTTTAGCTTTACTTAGCTATGGTTTTAAATGTTTGGGCATGTTTATTGTTAAGGTTAGAGAGGACAGTAGAAAGAAGTCCGCACAGAAAATGGAGGTTGGTGTTCAAGGGGAAGCTAGTTCAATTTCTCAATTACGGGCTGTGCAAGAGAGGCAGACTTCTGAGTCTAGTAGTCATATTTTGGCTTTGCCTTGTAGGAAGATTTCCTGTAAAGAAACCCCGGATCAGCACCTTGATGCATCTAAGGAAATTTCCCGTATGCCACTGAAAGGTTCTGGCCTGGATATTTCTGAAGAAGAGAGGATTGAGAAAATGGTGATCCCAATGCTGAAAGAGCAAATGAAGAAGCAGCAGCAGCAGCGGCGGGAATTGAAGAAGAGAGTGAAGAAATTATCCTTGAAACTGGAAAAGGAATCTCGCAAATCCCATAGGCGGGCTATTGGACAACCACATGCAGCAAATTATGAATTGGCTGCTCCCCCAGGCTGTGGAAATCCTGTCTGATATCTATTTTCTCAACTGGAATTTCAAAACTAGGAGATGTGAGGCGATGTAAAGTGCAAATTTGTTTGTTTAATTTTAGGGAATCAGCTGGATTTTAGAATTTAGATGCTTCTTTTTGGTCAGTTGTGTTTCTGCTCTTGGCATTACAGTCATTTCAGAATGGAGTTGGTAACTATTGTTGCACTAGTTTAGAGTTTTGCTCTGATAGGGATAGCACTTGGAGAAAAAGTTGAGGGTTTTCGACATCTTAAAGGATTCTTGAATTTGTCATCAATACTGGATTTATCAATCTTCGATAATACCTTTTTTTTTTTTTTTCTTCTTCTTCTGGGGTTAGGTGATTTATGGCAGGTAATGATTTTTCTCAGAACAGACGTTGAATCTCAGATTATTGTCATCCGTGGATGTCAGGAACCGATTAACTATAAAGATAAATGTGTTATGTTATTTTTATTTAAAATAAATTTATTATCATTATTTAAAACATTAGTGATAAATAAATTGATTAAAACAAAAATTATTGAAAAAGGAAAATACAAAATAAATAAAATGAGGATATTTTTAAAAGTAAAATTTGAAAGAATGTTAGTTTGATTAACGGAATTCTAATATTAATTTTTTTTCAAGAGATAAAATGTGTTTTTCTAACTAATAAGATTGAGTTTATTTTCAATAAAATTAACCCTTTTACACCCATTTTTTAGATTTCTTTTCTTCTCTTCTTCTCCTTCTCTTCTTTTTGTCTTCTTACCATCATAACCCTAAACAGAATGGAAGAGAAATATAAATCTGTCCATACAAGATTGGGGGACAGAGGAGATAAAGAGCAGCAAGAAGAGGTAAGTCATTTAAAGCTTAGTTTCAATTGAAAATTTGATTCTTATAAAAATGGATATCTAGAATCAATATTATATTAATAGATATGCATATTCAAAACTTAGAGTGCCTGACTAGATATACATATTCGAAAATACAAAATTGATTTCTATAAACACTAAATTTTTTTAATATTATTGTATTATTTTAATTTTTTAACATGTTGTAATATGCAAACCAATTTGGAAATCGCACTGATAGAGTGTAACCAATCATTAAAAAATTTAAATATCAAATATGATTGTAGTTCTTCATTTATTACTGAAGAGATAATATTAGGTTTTTCAAATTAGTTTGTTATGGAGGCATAACATGTTAGTTTGTATAGTGGCAAAGAGTAATAAGTTAAATATGTTATGTAGGTGTTTTGTAGTAGAGGAGTTTTTATTTTATGACCTAGATAGGTTGGAAAAGATAATTGTTCTGTGATTGTGATTAAAAACTTTAATTTAAGAGGTCCACTGAAAAAACCTAGAATAAAATTGATATGTGAATGAAATGAAAAATACAAACAATTAAAAAATAAGCTCAAAGTAAAAGAAATGCAGTGTAAGGAAATGGGAACAAAAAAATGTGATTGCCTATTTGAGTTACTTAGGTTAAGTTGGCAATGAATGATGAATGAGGCGTAAAAGTAATTTGTAAGTTTCACAATCATCTACCAGCAAAACAAGTAGAGGGACATTCATTTAAAAGATTATTATTTGAAAAAAAAAAAAGAGAACAGTGGTTGATATGTCAAAAAGTATGATCAAACTTAAAAACATACTGTTGAGTCTAAAACAACATGATGAGAAGAATGTTAGTACTATAAAGATTATATACAATGAATGTCAGAGATAGATATATTAAGAAAATTGATAGATCACAGATGTAACAACTCATGAAAAAATTGACTGATTATAAATATGTGGAGTGGCATAGGACTAACGAGTCAATTGATGTGCGAAAGACTTGTTCTGGGCTCGTCTTTGGTATAGATTTGTTGCATACCTTCCCAAGTGTATTAATTATAGATTACAACTATAAAACAAACAAATATTGTTCCCATTGCTTGAGATTGTTGGTGTGACTTCTATTAAGATGATATTTTTTATTGTATTTGTGAATTTGGAGGCCAAGCGTTATGACAACTACAGTTAGGAATTAGATATGTTAAAAATTTTGATGCTTCCTAATAAATTTCCTATTATCATTGTTACTAATAGAAATTTGGTATTGATAAATGCAACAAAGGTTGTGTTTCCCAACACGACAAATTTTTTATACAGATTTCATATCTTAATAAATGTGTTTGCAAATTGTAAAAGTTCTTTTAACAAAAAGGAAAATGGAAGGCATTTATGTCAGGTTGGAGTGTTTTTTTTTTTTTTCTATTGATGATGAGTACAAAAGACATCTAAGTTCATTAGAAAATGATTACTAAACTTATCTAAGTGCAATAAAGTTTGTGGAAAGCGGTAGTTGACAAAGAATAGATTTATTGTTGCTTGAACGGATAAAGTAATGCACTTTAGTAATGTTACAAGAAATAAGTACGATTTAGTTCATTTTTAATATTATTTATGGTTTATCATTTAGGGCCGAGAGTGTACATGCAAAATTGAAAAGACACCTTGGATCATTTTAAGGGGATTTTGAATCATTGATAATTCTATTTTTTTAAAAATTATAATAAACTTATTTGATCAATTATATCATTTACTTGATTCTTAACTATTAAATTTAATTTTCCAACCTAATTTTGTGTTATTGTTTCATGTGTGGGTAAATTGACAAATTGGCATGCTTGGTAATGCAAGGGATGACCATTTGAAAGATCTAGAGCAAAGAAAGAATAAGGAAAAAATGAAGAAATTAGTCTGGTAATTGCAGTAAATTAGCTTATACTGATCATGAGCTTCATTTTATTAATTTATAGGCATCAAAATACAAAAGCTTGTTTAACTACTACAAAAGTTGTTTGCCTAACAGTATGGATCACCATACACAGATCCAACATACTACCTAAACAGATAAAATGGCAGAACAAGTTGCAAAAGTTGCAGTAGATATGCCATACCTAGTTACTTTAACCACTAACACTCCTTCTTGGTATTTCTACTGGAAACAACAAGACTTTTTCTTAATGTTTCAAACCTTGCCTTAGGTAAGGCCTTGGTCAGAATATCTGCAATTTGATCTTCTGACTTATAGTGCACCAGCTTCATTTCATTCTCAGCTTTAACTTCTCTAATAAAGTGATACTTGATCTTAATGTGCTTAGTTTTCCATGAAACATAGGGTTCTTGACTATTGCAATTGTTGATTGATTATCACAAAAAAAATTTCTGTTGGATCATCTTGCTTTTGACTCAAATCCATCAAAATTTTTCTTAGCCAAATTACTTGATTAATAGCAGCTGCAGTAGCTATAAACTCTGTTTCTGCTATCGATTGGGCCACAGTTTCTTATTTCTTTGAATTTTAGTTGAACATATTTAATCCAATAAAGAACACATAACCTAAAGTGCTTTTCATGTCTTCATGAGAGCCAGCCTAATCACTGTCTGTGAATCCAAACAGTCTTGAACTTTCACTCTTCTTGAACCAAATTCCAAGTTCATTAATTCCTTTGACATATCTCAACATTCTTTTTACAGCCTTAAAATGCAACTTGCTAAGACTTTGCATAAACTTAGAGAGTAAATTGGCAACATACATGATGTCTAGCCTTGTTGCTATCAAATACAATAAGCAACTAACCAAACTTCTATAAATAGAACTATTAACTTTGTTAACTCCATCTTCCTTAATGAGTTTCTCATTTTGAGCCAAAGAGGTTTTGATTGGTTTATAATTTTTCATCCTAAACTTATGCAGGATTTCATTTGCATATTTTTTTGACAAATTGACAAATGAAGATTCCTTATTGGTCTTGACGAATCTTCATTCTAAAAAAAAAGACATTTCACCCATATCTGTCATTTCAATAACTTTTTGCATTTAGAGTTTAAAATCCTCTATAAGAGCTGATTAGCTACCTATCACCAAAAGATCATCAGCATACAAAGAACCAATCAATAGATCATTACTGTTAAAAACCTTAATGTACAATATTGCTTCACTAAAGCTTTTTTTGAATCCTAACTTTAGCAAATGATTATCAATTCTAGAATTCCAAGCTCTTAGAGCTTGTTTTAATCCATACAAAGCCTTTTGAGTAGATAGACTTTGTATTCATCTCCTTTGGCAACAAAATCATCAGGTTGTTCATTATAAATCTTCTTCTCAAGATAACCATTCAAGAAGGCAGATTTGACATCAAGTTAGTATAGTTTTCAACTTTTCTAAGTTGCTAAGATTAATAGCAGCCTTATGGTGTCCAACCTTGCAATTGGAGCAAATGTCTCTAAAAAATCAACACCAAGCTATTGGAAGTAGCCTTTAGCTAACAATTTAGCTTTAAGTTTGTTAATGGAACCATTAGTATTCAACTTCATTTTGAAAATCCATTTAACACCAATGATGTTTTTATTGCTTGGTCTGTCAACAAGCATCCAAGTTTGATTTTTCTCAATCATATGAACCTCTTTCTTCATGGCATTCCTCCACTTTGAAAATTTGATAGCTTCTTCAAAGCTTGTAAGTTCAAGAATGGCAACATTTGATGTTTGATAAATATTTGTGAGTGGTATGATTCCTCTCATTGGTTCATGATCAATGTTTTCATTTTCAAATATATAATCCTCTTAATCTTGAAAGCTTATCATGTCTGCAGCAATTTGCTTGACTGGTTTTCTCTTTGACTTTTTTTTATTTCAGGTAGCTTGCTAATTAAATCTCACATTCCTACTTACAATCACTTTGGTTATAAGTGGATTGTAAGTCCTATAGCCTTTGGTGATGTTGCTATAGCCCAAAAAAATATAGATTTCTATTTTTTGATCAAGTTTGTCTTTTTTGATATCAAGAACAAACACATAACAAATGCTGCTAAAAACTCTGAGATGCTACACTGATGGTTTACTTCCATACAAGGCTTCGAATGAAGTTTTTCCCTTTAAAGCTTTTGTGGGCAACTTGTATAGTAAGTAGAAAGAGGTATTAATTACTTCTACCTAAAACTTATTGAGATGATTCCTCTCAAATAGCATGCATCTTGCTATCTTTATGACTATTCTATTCTTCTTTTCACTAACTTAATTTTATTGTGGAGTGTAAGTTACTGTGAGTTGGTGTTCAATTCTTGTAACTTCACAAAACACATTAAAATTGTTAGATGTGTATTCAGTACCATTTTCTGACCTTATGATCTTGATTTTACAACCACTTTAATTCTCAATCCAAGCTTTGAACTTCCCAAAAACATTTGCAACTTCAAACTTTTGTTTTATGAAGTAAATCCAACATATTGTAGTAAAATCATCTCTAAAAGTAATGAAATATCTACTGTCATTCAAGGACAAGGTTCTTATAGGACCACAAACATTAGTATGAACAAGTTGTAGTTTTTCAATTGTCCTCTATGCTTTGTTAATTACAAATGGCAACTTACTTTG